GTCCATACATCCATAACAAACCATACATCAATGGAAGCTTATTTATTCAGCTTTCAGATGATGTATAAATCTCAATTTCTAAAAATTGACCCTTACGACTGGTTTTGTGCTCCAGGGTCACATATGATTAAAACTGATTAATTGAATGTGCACGCTGCCATTTCATGTAAAACTTTTTTTTAAAAGTGAGCCACAAAGTTGTAGTTTCTGTTCATACTTGAGTGCAGGATTTTCAGCCATTGCCTCTTTAGTCAGAAACTGAACATTTTTCGAAAGCTGATATTTTGGTGCGCTCCTAAAATTGAACACTCCCAGACTGACTTCCAATACCTCAGGGATCCATAAGGCACAGCTGACGTGGACCCACTTGGTTCCACTGCGAGTGGGTTTCAGAGCTCCTCCTCTCCTGGGACAAAGCAGACATTTGGGCTGCACTCCGAGGGCACAGACTCGGCACAGCCAGTTACCCTGCGGCACCTTCAAGATCCCGTAACACGCCTGCAGAAGGAACAAAAACATGCTTTCCGTCAACACAACCAATAATCTTCACAAATCAGAACTGTTATATAATCAGAATGATCAGTTTCTGTTGATAACCTAATTGTCAGAGATGCAAACAGGTAAGGGGGGGGAAAAAAGGTGAGAACATTGTGCGGATCGGAGGCATGTTTCACACGGAATTTCTTTTGAAGATATTTGCTTTACATGCTCTTTTGAAGTTACTTTAAGGTTTTTTTTTTATTTGTATTACCTTATATGTCCAAAACCGTTATTTTTCACACACACAAAAAATTACATCTTGTTGCAAAATTTTTCCAACTTTAAGAGATTATTCACGATATTTTCAGGAATAAACTAAAGAAAAAAACTAAAGCATTTTTAAGAAATGAAGAGTTCATTTGCAAAAACATATAACTCAGATACTCATAACTCATATTCTCTGAAATCATGTTTTTGACTAGGTTAAAAAATTAACTTAAAAAAAAAACAGCTAACTAACACAACAAAACATGATAACATAATAAAAAACATGATTTTTGAACATTTAAAAAAACAGAGTTATCTGTTTTTGCAAATAAACTCTTCAAATGTTTTTAGGACTACAAATTATTCCTAACTTTACTCTTAAATTAGAAAATAAGAAGAAAATAGCAGTTATGAAGAATTTTATTCTTACGAATGTTTCGTGAATCCGGTCTCTGGTGTTTCACTGCATTCATGCACACAATGGACACGTCTGCGATTCATTACAGAGCTCAGACCCCAATACAATCTGGATTGTTTTTGGATTAAATACCTGATGCACACAAACGTTGCACTTGTCGCAGAAGACCATCTCGTTGCCGTCCTCCCCCTCAGGTGAGCGGCACACGTCACAAACCACGTCCTCGTCGTATTCGATGCCCAGACCCTCCTCGGTCTCGATGGCCTGCTGCATGTTCTGCTGACACCTGTTCTCCAGCTCCACCACGACCTGCTCCATGGTGAGCTCGTCCAGCTCTGGAAGTGCTGAGACACACAAAGGAAACGGCCTTGTATTTGTATAGTAGGGCCCTATGATTTCCGTGATGTGGAAAACATGGAGGGAATCACGAAATCCAGTCATAAAAATGGCATTTACTGTATAATGCAGAATGGCATGGAATTTGTCAAATTTTGAATGAGTAAATCAAAAGTAGGTCAGCACACTTAAATCAAATGGTGATATGGACTTGTGTCTTTGAATATTAAAATGCAAAACGGCATTTAGAGTTCGGTTTAACTTGAAGAAATTGTGACAGAAATATATTAATACTGTACAGTAGAATGTACGTATTGCTACTACTGCTACTACTAATTAAATTATTATTAAAACTTTTGTTTTCAATAAATAATCACACAAATTTCCTTACGTTTTAAAAAAATTTAGCAGTAAAGCTCTGTTATGCAGCACTTTATTTGCCAAAAAAAATGAAGGGGTTTCTTTAATTACATTTTGTTTAATATTTTATGCCATCATTTGATTATCAGGTAAAATAATATGGAAAACATAGAATTTTGTTAAATAAATAAATACATACATGCAACTGAATTTGAGGAAAAAAAAAAAAAAAAAGTATTTAATTTGGCTGTAAAGAATTTATTTTTGTTAAATTATTAATAAATTACTGTTAACGTCTATAAGTTTAATGATTTCAATTAATTAGACATGCTTTTGATTAATAAAATTTAATTTAACCATTAAAACAGAGTCCAGAAAAATTAAAATGTGAAACAAAAAAAATGGAAAAACCCTAAAAAAGGTTTTTTATGAAAATAAATAAGATTTCATAGGGCCCTACTTGATGAACGAGAGAAGAGGGATGAAAGTGTGACATATCATAACTTCTGTTCAAACGTTATAGAAATTACATTTACACTTTGGCGCTTAATTATTTCTAGGGGGAAAAAAGTCAGAATTGTGAGATGTAAACTCACAATTGTGAGAAAAGTAGTCAGAATTGTGAGGAAAAAAGTTGCAATTACCTTTTTTATTTTTATTCCATATGTTTAAAATTAAACTAAAAACAGAAAATACAAAAATAAAAACAAATTTTAAATATTAATAAAAACTATAATAGTATCTCAATGATACAAAAATAACACCAATAGCTCAACAAAACATTACTTATTTCACTAAATTAAAAAAAATACAACTTCAACTCTATTATTGGCCTGTTTGCTATAAACTTAAATCATCAAAGAAACATGAGTCAGATAGCTGATTTTACCTAGTTGTCTGAATTCAGCATTAACCAGTTCAAGCCAGGTCACATCCAGATCATCAAGATTGTAACAACTCAACGGCTCAGTGAGACCATGTGACTCTCCAAAGCCAAACTCTGACTGGCCCCTGGTTTGGATCGCTGAAAAGAACGGGATTCGATTTACCCCCGGAAGCATCCTGGGAAAAAATTGCACACTTGAATGACCACAAAACTCATTCTTCATGCATCAAGTATTCAAAGGAATGTTTCAGCTTCAAGTAAAGCTCAATGGACAGGATTTGTCTCATAATGTTGATAGCCAGAGGAAATCATTGCAACTTGTCCTTTGTGCAGTGACTTATGATCGGTGTCGATGCACGCTGAAATCAGTCATGTTTTATGATCAGATGGTACTTTCCTCAATTCATGTAACCGGTTGAAGATGAAACTCTTGTTATAGTGAAACCGATATTAAAATATTGAAACCGATATTGAAACCGATATGACCGATATTACAGCACAAATGCAACGTGGCCCACTGTGGTTTCAATGAGCATTTCGGACTTTGTTGATACCTGCATTTAGTGCTGTTCATTTGAGATCGGATCACCAGAGACGGATCTGAATACCAGATGTAAATGATGCACTGCCATACTTTCATCAGTAATTCTGAATTAATTTATGTCGTGCAGTGCATATTCAAAGCAAAGGCATGTGAGCAATTCACTAATAATTAGAAATGAACATAAATACAGTCAGTTCCTAACTAAATCATATAACAAAATTAAACACTTAAAGCATTACAGCAGGTATTACTTTGGAAAATGAAATTGGTATTGAGAATCAAATGTCAATAGCATTGATAGCGGCTTCTGGAATATTGGTATTGAGATGACACTAACCCCTAGTATGAGCTGATGAAGGAAAACAAAACCTAAAAAGCAGGAATGAATGAACTAAGCTATTAATTCTGAACACCAAGCTGGTTCATCAAGCACAACCCATGAATGACAGAGACAGCAGATGGATGCTGAGTGAAATATTGAGAGATCCAGATGTGAACGTGGCTCTCTCCATGTCTTTATTACTTTTGTAAAATTAGTTTAATAATATTAATACATCAATATGGGTCATGCACTGAGAAATTAAATTTTCCCTAAACGTTTGACATATAAGAGACCACTGTAAAAACTAGAGATGCGCGATATTGGATTTTTGATAACCAAATATCTGAAATGCCGCTATTTTTAAACTCATTTTTGCTGATACGGACATATTTTCTTTTGTTTGGAAACAACACCAAGTCTCTCCTGTGCAGAGATTATAAACAAATTATTTTTATTTTGGTTAGTTTCGAGCAAAAACGTACCCTAAACTTAGTTAGAACTAAATAAACAACAATCAAGTTTGTTTTATAATGAAAGTACATTGAAAGCTGTGCAACATACTCCCATTCTCATAATCTCACTGAAGCGCACATCATTTTTTGGCATAAGCTTTTCTTGAGCATCTATTCTTGTACGGGTAAGAGTTGCTCACTTTACAGAGACATATGTGACCCTGGACCACAAAACCAGTCATAAGGGTCAATTTTTTTAAATTTCCATTGATGTATGGTTTGTTAGGATAGGACAATATTTGGCCGAGATACAACTATTTGAAAATCTGGAATCTGAGGGTGCAAAAAAATCTAAATATTGAGAAAATCGCCTTTAAAGTTGTCCAAATGAAGTTCTTAGCAATGCATATTACTAATCAAAAATTAAGGTTTGATATATTTATGGTAGGAAATATACAAAATATCTTCATAGAACATGATCTTTATTTAATATCCTAATGATTTTTGGCATAAAAGAAAAATGGATAATTTTGACCCATACAATGTATTGTTGGCTATTGCTACAAATATACCCCAGCGACTTAAGACTGCTTTTGTGCTCCAGGGACACATATTATGGTGCAACACTGTTTGCAAATTCATTCTGAAATCTGAAAAGGGCATTTTTTTCTCACTGCATTTCTACTTGGGAAACACATCAGTCTAGATCATGCCTGTAATTTACTGTGACTCTCACCTGACTACAGGTTCGGGAATGGCTTCCACATTGGCTGGCACCTGAACACCCTTCTCCCATTCCTGCCTCCAGGGGTCGGATAGGAAATAAAACTCCTCTGGGCTCAGTTGTGCTGAATCAGGCAACTTCATGGCTGTAATAAAATCGGTCCGAAACACCTGAAAGAACAGAACATTGGCAACATTCAACAAGAAACAATCCCTTCTCGCTCTGGTGACATTTTCACTGGCGCCGAGGCAAGAATTAAATACTTTGCCATGTTTTAGAAAGCAATTTTCGTGCCAGAAAGCAAAATATATGAAATACGAAACACTCAAATATGTATGAACACATAATATGAAATATTAAGATGTCATCACAGAAGACAATCATACAAACAACTGCTTTTAAAAGTTAAATTGTAAAAACGTTAACATTTTTGAGTGGGTGACTTGCCAAGAAAAAAAACGTAGGGTGTTACGTGAGTTTATCCAGTGGTGTGTGAAAAGTCAGTGCTGTAAGCACAGTGCAAATGTGGTTTTAAATCAGACACATATTTAATATGTAAACATCTGCAGTGTTGGGGGTAATGCATTACAAGTAACACAAGTAACGTAATCAGATTACTTTTTTTAATACAACTAGTAAAGTAATGCATTACATTTTAATTTACAAGAAAATATCGGAGATACTTTTTCAAATAAGTAAGTGACATTTATTGACTGACAGCTCTCGTGTCCGCATGTTGAAAGAAATCAGGAGTAAGTGCAGAGGCGTTGTGTGAACATGATCTTACTGTAGTTCGAGACTAGATGTGAACATGCATTTACTCATCTCACTGCACAAAAACAGATTCAGTGTTCCTCAAAATGAATTAAAAAAATGAAATGCAAAACTTATGTATTTAATCCCATTTTATTAACAAATGTCTTTGCTGCTGGCCTTTGATGATCCAATGCAACCATACTAATAAGCAAAAATGACTTCAGATAAACATAACATTTGGGTTTCTTTCTTTTTTATTACTGAAGAGTGTTCTTGCGTCCTATTCTTCATGCAATACAGAATGGCATGAGCTGCGTCCTCTACTGTACAGACGTGAATTTTCATTTTCTTCAGCCTGACATGTTTTCATTTCACTTTTGTTGTGAAAGGGCTTTTACATTTGCCAGAAATATAACTTTTTTTTATATTAAAAACAAATAAGCAAGCCCAGCCCAGATAAGAAAATGTAACGCAAAAGTAACGTAACTTTACTTTCCATAAAAAGTAACTAAGTAACACAACTAGTTACTTTTTTTAGGGAGTAAAGCAATATTGTAACGCATTAGGCCGACTTTTAAAAATAAATTTCCCCAACACTGGACATCTGACCTTCAGCTAAACGCATATCTGATTCCCATTGGAAACCAACCCAAGCCATCACAAGACGAAGGAGACACATTTATCTACGAAGCTAACTTTTCTTAATGTCGTGTTATGAAGCAGACTCAGAGCTTCAGTCTATATAGAAACGCCACACAGATCCACATGCACCGTCTCTTTCTCAAATTCATTCAAAACAATCGTGTCTTAAATGAATGTAAATAGACGGGACCAAAAATTGGATATGAAAATATCAAGAAATTACATTTTGATTAAAGATCACAAAGTTAGGAAAATTACAACTACTACAAGTATTATCAACTGACTGTACAATCACATAAATCATACAATATTGCAGCAATTCTTAATGGCTTAATTGTTTATATCGTCGTCAAATGTAAACTATCCTATCACCCAGCTCTAAACTGCTAAATGATAAATAAATAAATAAATAAATAAATAAATTGACTCCGTCTCATCCGCTAGGGGTGTGCACAATTAGTATACAACTAATTGTTGCTTTAATGATGTGTGAGCTGACATTATCAAGTATGCATGAGTTCATGCAAAAAACTAACAAAAACACATCATTAGAATGCAGTTTGAATGGCCCTATATTTCAAGTTACGAAAAAAAAAATTTGTTTTTTATATTTATGATATGATATAGTAAGAAATAGCAATAGCACACAAGCAAGAATGCTGTTTTCCCGAATATCAGCATGTGAGCGCAATCGCGAATGTTGTATTGATTTCATACAGCAGTTCAACAAACGAGAAGTTATTGTTGAGTGAGTTACATTTTAGACACAATATTGTCTGTTTTTATTGTTTCGCCAGTGAAAATAGCTCCAAACAAAGCCGGATCAAACGTTTGTGCATCTCAGCGCAACACTACAGTGTTACATTCCTGAATGAATTTGTTTTTGAATGAATCATTTGAGTCAGTGATTCAATGATCCATTCATAAAGACAGTCACTTGCTTCATTTCACTGAATGAATCTTTTGAATGAATGATTCAAGAAATCACTCATTAAGACAAGGACTTGCCGCCACCTACTGGTGGTTTTAGTGTGATATTTATTTATCCATGAAAGGCCTAAATCAGTCAAAGTACCAGAACAAAAAAAAAAACACTCGGCAAAATATTGTTTAATTATCATTATCTTAAAAAATAAAAAAATATTGAGATATCATTTTTTCCTGAATATCGCACACCCTTACCATCCACCCAGTTCAATAATGCATTGATTATTTTTTATTTCTTACTAAAAATGCTGACTTTAATGCATTAGTGCATCTGCCAGAGCAGTTAAGTTCTGGTGTATATTTGTGTTTACTGATGAAGCAGTATTTCTCACCTCAGACGGTTTCTTCTGCTCATGGCGTACCCATGTGCTGCTGGTCCCTGTGTTCTTTGAAGACCGTGACCAGGTGGTCACATGACCTGCAAGAGATTAAATACCAAATGAGAATTCTGCCATCGTTTACTCGTCCTCATGTTCTTCCAAACCTCTATGACTTTTTTTATGGGTTTGAAATGGAAGCAAATGATGCGAGCACAATTTGTGGGTGAACAAAATACAAATATAAATAATACACTTAGACAATCCTAGATAAACACCTGAAGGTATAATTTCCACTTAAGGGCAAAGTTGAAAAAAATTTAATTAAAAAAATTAATTAATAATTCAGGTCATTAAAATGTATTTTGAAAGATGATTTCATTCTCTTGTGTAATGCGTGTTATTTAGCACATAATTGTAAGTTGTTGATTAATTGTTGCATTAACCCTAATTAATCTCCAAGGCCTCTAAATGATCAAAACTTTGCTGATAAACCTGTTGCACACAATCTACTACATGCCGGTTGTTGTCTGATTGATTAGTTTAATGCCTTTTAGCACAATCGACCTGGTTCATGTGGGGGGTTTTTTGCTATGAAATCTTTAGAGTTTTATAAAGTAAGAATATCTCCGTTAGTAATTTCTGAAGATGAACACTTACTGAAACAGCTTGGCTTTACTTGATTATCCAGACATCTTTTTTTTTTTTAAATCAGTGAGTTTCAAATACAATCATCAGGATTTTGACGAACGTTTATCTGTTCATCTCTCAATCATCATCATATTGCACTGCTTTGCATGTTTTGAACTTTTAAGCATTAAATATCCTCTTGCCAAGACATATTGGCAGATACATAGCGACAGCTGATATTTATGTACAGTTAGTAGTCTGCTATCCTGTTATAGAGATCTCAATTCATCTTACATTTTGTCCAAATATCATAATCTGCCCTAAATTGCATAGTTTTTCTCAATTGGGGTCTCTGCAAATTCTCACTATTTACTACTTTGTTATATTTGATCTTTATCTGTAAAGATGTTATGCAGTGGTGAGAAGCCGTGCGTCTGAGTTTATCACTCACTGTCGGTGGTGTCAGAGTCGTTGCTGCTGGTGGAGAAGCATTTAACATTTATGAATTAATTAAATGTCAGTAATGAACAATACTGCACAAATTATAGCGATCACGAGGAAGGTCCTATTCTATCCCAAACGCGTACAGTATAGTGGATATATAGCCTACAACACCCCATCAGTTATATTCAGGGCAATAGTGCCACCTGTTGGCGCAGTTTTGTAACTTAGAGAACAACTTTTGTTATGTCGAGATAACGAGAAAATTAAGTCGTTATAATGAGAAAACAACTCCCGTTATGTCGAGATCACGAGAAAATTAAGTCGTTATAACGAGAAAACAAGAAGGAAATATATATATTGCATGGCCGCTTAGAACTTCCGTATGATATAAATTGGAATTCGGATTTTTTTTTTTTTTTAAAGGTTTCCCGGCTTGGGTGATGTTAAAGGGATAGTTCACCCAAAAATGAAAATTCTGTCATTAATTATTAAGTCGTTATTTTTGTTTTCTTTGCGCACAACAAGTTATCTTGTAGCTTCGTAAAATTACGGTTGAACCACTGATGTCACATGGATTAATTTAACAATGTCCTTACTACGTTTCTGGACCTTGATCGTGGTAATATCCTTGCTGTCTATGGGAGGGTCAGAGAGCTCTCAGATTTAATCAAAAATATCTTAATTTCTGTTCCGAAGATGAACGAAGGTGTTATGGGTTTGGAACGACATGAAGGTGAGTAATTAATGACTGAATTTTCATTTTTGGGTGAACTATCCCTTTAAGGCTGGGCGATATGGCCAAAAATGTTATCACAATTTTTTTTCCCATATGATACAATATAACTCCACAGAGCGCCCTTTCAATTCAGGGCCCCATGAAATCGGTTTTATTTTCCCCTAAATTCTGTTTGCCCTTTTATTTTTTTCCGGGATTCTATGTTTTATGATTCATTACAAATTTATCATAAATTAATGGTGTCTAATTAAATGAATTAAAACTTGAACAATTTAAGCAATCTTTTAAAGGGAGTGTAGTGTAGAGATGTGCGGATGAGTTCAAACTTCACCCGAGTCTGCTGCTTCAAATTATCCGCCCGCCACCCAACCGTACCTATATGATTTGATCGTTGCGGATGAGTTCAAACTTCACCCGAGTCTGCTGCTTCAAATTATCCGCCCGCCACCCAACCGTACCTATATGCTATATTTGATCGTCACATTCAATGATTCGAATTCTTAGTTTTGCATGATGATATGATGAATGGATGGTTCATTTTTAACATCAGACGCTGTTTAACAGCTGATCTGCGCATCACTGCACGTGTCTGCGGCGCATTACGGCTCCACAGCCACTCAGCTCTCACAATGAGCTTATCATATTCGTTTGCTACATTAATAGGGCCCTATGATTTCCGCGATGCAGAAAACGCAAACGAAAGCACGGAATCCAGTCGTAAAAACGGAATTTACGCGGAATTCCTCGGAATCTGTCATTTTTGATGAATAAATAAAAAACAGGTCAGTACACTTAAATCAAATCGCGATATAGACTAGTGTCTGTGAATATTAAACTGCAAAAAGGCTATTTAAATACGAATCTTCATGTTCATTTGATTACCAGACATTACACAATACAGAATTTGTGGGAAAAAATAATTCTTCATTATTAACATTTATTCATTTTAGATGTTACATTTGGAAAAGCTGTGCTTCCTGTTGGATTGGCAGTAGCTTGTTGCCCTACAGTTTATTTTCTTAATTCAAGTTATAAATATATTGTTCTATTTGTGTTAAAGTTATTTATAATAAGTGTATAAGTATATAAGTTATTATAAATAAAGTTTACATTTACATTTTACAGACGCTTTTAACCAAAGCGACTTACAATTGTTTACTGTTAAGTGCACTGATGTCAGACTCATTTGGGATAACAAAGTTTATTGTTAAATTGTTAAATACCCTGCCTCCACTACATATTTTTGTCATCACATTATAAGTGTTTGATCACCACATTTGAGTTATCATTACTAAAAATGTGTTCATGTATATATTTTCTGTTTATGTATGTACTGTACAGTATGTGCTTCTTAAAATAAGTAGTAGTAATTATTAAAACATTATATCACAATATTTAGTTTGTTTCAATTTTAACAGTAAACCTCTGTTGCACAGCATTTCTTTTGCTACAAAATAAAAGAAAAAATTGTTACATTTTACTTTGATTACATTTTTTTTTAATGAAATAATCTGTTAAAGTTTTATGCATTTATCTAATTGCTACAGTTTTTTGATAAGTTTGTAGTCAATTCTAACAAAAAATTTTTTCATAGGGTCGTATTGTTGTTAAATTGTTAATAAACTGTTAAAGTTTCATGAATTTAATTAATTAGACATGCCTTTTGATTATCGCAATTTAATTAGACCATTAAAATGGAATCCAGAAAAAATAAAATGGGAAAAAAAAACTTTTCTTGGGCCCCTAAAAGTGTAGAAACATCTCAAAGATCATCCAGAGAATTTAAATCTATACCACAGCAATGCAATTAGTACTTAAGTATTTTCTTAATAAATTTTGTAATTTAAAGCTGCAGTCCGTAACTTATTTTGGTTAAAAATGATCCGAAATCAATATTTGAGCAAGAGGCAAGGGTGTAAAGTTGCATTCAAGCTATTTTAAGGCATGAGAAAATTATTTTCACAAGAAAAAACATTTAAATATGTAATTTTGATGATCAAAGATGAGTTTTGAAGGATAACATTTTTGACTACAGGTGGACTTTAAATGTATCATTTTGATGGCGGATTGTAATCCATAAAGGATTATGCGTTTATGAAACACATGTGAATGAAATTAAATTATATTCCAGTTATAAATGTGCTTCTGATTACAGATAGCCTGGGATTACAAAGATTTGTATTTCAAAGAAAACCAGTTCGAAGGGAGCATAATTTACTGTGCAGAAATTGAAATCTACACACTAATACACACTATACTCAGTCACCAATGCTGATGTTGTTAACATTAATTATTTGAGAATAAAGTATAACAATAATAATAATTTGCACGGTTTGATGTGATATGAGCTAACTGATCTTTAGATTTAATCACCATTGGTAGCGAGATTTATGGTAATGTTTTTTTCCTCAGTTGGTCAGAACAAACGTGGCAGACTTGTTACTTGTTCAGATGGCAATATACGGAGAAAATTCTTATTTGGGTCATATTCCAAGACGTGCTAGAATCTGTGATTGCGAAGTACAGTAAATATCTACACCGGTGCGTGACTGACTGCCACACATACGCTTCAGAACATTAGATTCATCCGCGCTGGAGCCGCGCCGAAGCACAACCCACGCAAGGAAGATAATTCCGCACACAGCTGCAATTCCAGGTTTTCAAACAGAGATGGCGACAAAGAGGCAAAACTTACGGACTGCAGCTTTAAAGCAGTTTAGCATAAGGCATTTTGTCACATAAAATGTGACAAAATGAAGGGGTCTGAATACTTCTGGAAGGCACAGTAAACGAACATATTCTGTGTTTCTGATTCTGGTTTATAAATCAAAGCATCATTTCTCTGGGTGAGAACACTCATCTGCTCGTCGTCCAGGTCTGTCAGATGGACTATTGCTGCTAAACACTGACAGCTATTGACAGTAAACATCAGGACCACATGCATCCCTCACAAACACTGAAGCTGCAGCACTAAGAACTCGCGTTCCACTGACTATGTTACGGGTGATGGGAACATCAGAGCCCGAGCTCCCACTTTCATGAATAACCCCCTCATACGAGAAACACACACTGTGACCATGTGAACGCCTCGCCTCCTCCTCCACCAATCACACGGCAGATGACAAACACACTTTATATGGATGTAGCTGCTCTGCGAGATTCAATATTGTTAACTTGAGCACATTAAAATTTACATGGCAAAGAACCCAACGTATTTAGTGCCAAACACAAATGTTTTCTGTGCGTCATGATAGTCTAGTGGTGTAAAATTATACTGTATATGCTTCAAATTCAGACATAAATATAAAACATGCATTTTTACAATGGACTTAGCTAAACTGCCCTGCATTTTATGCATGCATATATATATATATATATATATGCATTTTTATATTCTTTTATTTAACAGCAGAACTGTCTTTTTGTTTCATGGGGGAAAAAAATCCAACCCTTTTACACAGTGCCTTGTGAAAGTATTCGTACCCCTTCATTTTTTTCACATTTTGCTTTTGTTTTGTCTCAAGATGCACACCAGTAATGTTTTTTTCTAAGGCATGTTTATAAAAATTACTTGAATGTCCTAATTGAACTATGGCCTAATCCTGGCTTAGTCTAAACCCTGTCTGTGAAACCAGGCCTTTGAGTTTAAGTTAATCTGTGGCAAATTCAATTGAAAAGGTAAGATCTGGAAAGGCACACACCCCTAAGGTCTAACAGTTAAACACATATCAGAGCAAAAACCAAGCCTGTAGAGCTCAGAGACGAGATTGTGTCAAGACACAGATCTGGGGACTAGGCCTGGGCGATAAAACGGTATCGATATTTATCGACGGTGCACCTTCTTCCATAACGATAGAAAATTTTTTCGATATGGCACATGATATAGGCATGTGCTATGAGTGACGCAGACAAAAAAAATGTCAATAATTATCGATACCGAACGATATGAAACATTATATCGCCCAGCCCTAGGTCAAAAGTAATCTAAAAGTAATCAACAAGTAGTCTGATTATATTACCTAAAATGTGTAACGTAATGGATTACGTTACCAACTACAATTTTTATCATGTAATTTGGATTTTGGAATCAGTAGCGGACTGCAATTTGTAAGTGATCCAGCCCACATGAAAAAATACTATAGTAATTTATAGTAAATACTATAGTGTTTTTTAACCATACTATAGTAAAGTACTTGAATTAATGTGTTGTGGTAATTCTATGGTTGCTATGGTAATATAACAACTAGTAATATAAACAAATTACTTTACCCGATAAGTTTTCTACAACTATCAGGTATATTATACTAAAATACACTACAGTTTACTGTAGTACACACTAAAGCATACTACAGTATTTATTACAGTTTATCAGTTCACTATAGTTAATACTACAGTATGCTGTAGCATTCATTAATAAAGTGTTGTAAATACTATAATATATACAGTATTATAATACAATTTACTATAGTATGGTTCAAAAACACTAGTATTTACTATAAATGACTATAGTATTTGTTCATGTAGGAGTGCTATGATCTACTGTTTGATCTACAGCACTTGAGAGCACTGCATGACATTTGATGTCAACTAACCACATGCATTCAGACCCGTTCATTAACTGCAATGGCAAACTAGATTAGTAAAACACAGTTCCATACACTGCTGGACTGAGAGAAACATGCTTAGTTCCCGCCCCTCGAGCGCAGCCACGCCTCCTCCGCGTGACGTCACGCCACAGTGAGCAGCAGCAGACTGTAGGGGGCGTGGCAGATGACCCGCAGGGTGTTTATGAATCTGAAGCATGCTAGGCCAGCATTCAGTACTCATAACTTAGCATGTCACTAAAACAAACCACTGATTAGAGTTTAAACACACGATGTGTGTTCAGGTTCAGCGCAGTGCACTTTCAAAATAACTTTACTGGCATTACCAGTCGCAGAGTACAAGAACTAACCTCACAGTTGCACAGAAGAGTTTATCAATAATGACTGACAGATCAAAAACAGACAGGTTCGCAATCGCATCAATCTGTGTAGAACTTAACGTTATATAGAATTACGCTCATCTGGAGCTCAAACACTCATTGTGAGAAGATAGCACGCGTTCTTTAGCTTTACCTTATTTGCAGTTTGCACAAGAACTGTCCTCGATGCACAGAAATCAGGGGAGCATCTGAGGCCAGGCACATGTAGATGAATTCCCCCTCCACAGCCAGAAATAAAAGTTACCGTCGGCGGATTGAATCCACAGCAGCGCCCATCCGACGCCGTTATCCGTCGACTTCGCGAAATCGCAAATACGTTACACTTATTACGGCAACGGTTATCGGTTCGCCATCCCCAAAATTGTTTTGGAGGAAAAGCGTTTCCTCAGAATCCTGCGAAGTGAAGCGCACTAGCGTGACAATCCATTGCGACACGCGTTTATTGTGTTTTAAATGAGTAAAAAATTCTTACTTACAAATGGGCAAAACCTAGGATAGTAGCACATTTTAAAAATGTAAAATTACAACTAATTAGTATTTGGGGTGAAAGTAATTAGTCTTTTAATATGTCATAAATAGATTTTTGTTGTAAATATGCCTGACAAGATTGTTACACTGAATGATATTTTAGTGGGTCTCTTCTGTAAATCAGGGGAAAATGTATGATATTTATTTTTTGCTCAGAAAAACAAAAACAAAAATACAGTTACATTAAACAGAAAACTTTTTAATTTTTTGTTTTTAAATGCAACAATTTAAAGCAGTATTGTTTTTAATGCTTAAACCCTTTTTCGTTTTTGACCCGTATACACAAAAAATGAAATAATTCAGATTTTTTTATGTTTTTGAAAGGGCTTTTCCGTTCACCAAGGCTGCAAAAAAACAGCATATATTATGATATATATTTTTACAATCTAAAATAGCTGTGAATATATAGAAAAACGTAATTCATTCCTGTGATGCGCAGCTGTATTTCCAGTCTCATGATCTTCAGAAATCATTCTAATATTCTGACTTGCTGCTCAGTTATATTATTAATATTGCCATTTCTATTGACATAAGATTATTATAACTTATGATATTTATAATAGCAATTAAGCTCCCTAAACAAGGGGTTTAAGTAATATATAGTTGGATATTATTCAACACACTTGTTTCATTTCCACTCCTTTCTGCATCCCTTTAAACGATAAGGACAATATATTGTCATATTAAGAATGTTGATGGTTAGAAATAAATCTGAGTCATTGGTTTGCATCTCTGCATCCCAGCATGTTGCTTTGAAGCGTTTGAGTGATGCAGCAGTCAGAACCGCTTCCTCGACTATAACGATATGACTCATATTAGACTATAATGGATGTTGTAAATAATCTTTCTCTTGAGGACCACAATCTTGCAGCTGAAGCACATTTGTGTTCCAAATTATAGCGTTCGCCTGACCAAGCAGACGACTCATCAGATTTTTCCCCCTAAGTCATATAAAACATGCCATTATTTTGCCATAGCAATCTGTTTTATCGTGAAAAGAGGGGCAAGGAACGGTAAAACTATCACACAAATGATCATAATTATGTGACATGCATATGAAGCAACATGCAAACACATGAATATCTGATTTTTATATTAAACATTCACATAATGAAGCATGTGGAAAATAGATTTTATATGCAGATTAAATAGGTTTTAAGGAAACTTTTGTCCTGTCTCCCGAGGTCACAGGAGGGCGCAATGAGCAAAATAATGCAGCGCATTTAAATTGTCAACGCAAGGAAATAACTGTCTATAAAAACAGTGCATTACGGTGCTATATTTTTATTTTTTTGTGCAAATGAAAAAAAAAAGCAAGACTGTGAGGGATAGATGCACAGTGTTGTTGTGCAGCAACTTTGAAAATGCATGTTTTAAAAAAAAAAATGTCCTGGTGATGTAAAAACCTTAAACACACAAATAAGAATTCTGTCATTGTTTACTCACTCTTCCCTTTTTCTTTTTTCTTCTGCTGAACACAAAAGAAGATATTTCAAAGAATGTTGGGAAACAAAACAGTTGACGGTAGCCATTGTAACTTACACTGTAAACACTGCTTGCAAATTGTAATCCATTACTGATTGCAAATTACACAACAAAAAATTGTAGTTCCATTACAATTACACTTTTTTTGTACACTTTTTGATTACTTTTGCCCTAACTCATTGATCACATTGATTTAATCTTGTGCCATAGGCCTACTGATATAAAAATACAAAGAGAAAGAAAATCTATTCGTTGTGAAATGCATTAAACATTACATAAATCATTTTAAAATACCAACAAAATAAAACACTCACTAAAAAGATATCACGTGACCATTAACCAATGACAGCGAACCTTGAAAATGCAAATTTGTTAATTATTATAACATAAGGCCTACCTAAAATCTCAGGGGATACTTCAAGTAAATATATTATGGTGAAAGAGGATCGGCTGACAAAAAAAACATTTTCATTTTTTGGTCAACTGGCCCTTTAAGACAGCACAAGCTACTGACTGTATGTCTATCCCTCACAGCCTCGCTTTCATTTGAGGAAAGTTTAAATGTATGATGACGACACCAAATCACGCTTACATAAATATATAATGAACGTCGGATGTTGTTTTCCACGGCACTGTACGTCACGTACGTGACGCTAGGTGGTGACGTGTCCCTTTAAGTGCGTCCGTCACGAACGGAAGAAGAAGAGTGACGTCACCGCCCCGGCGCAAACATGGCGACTACGGACGTGGAAGATTTCATCGGACAGAACAGGCAGCTGTCGGATTTAGTCGAGACGTTTCGCAGCGTTTCCGAAAGCGAAAAACACTGGAAGAGCAGGAGGGAGTTTATATTCAGAAACATCAACGATTATGAAGACCCTCACCTGGATCAGCTGCTCGCTCTGTCTATGGTGTGGGCGAACCACGTGTTCCTGGGCTGCAGGTCAGAATAAAAGCACTTTACATCATCACAAACAATTGTGTCCCTGCAGCACAAAAGCAGTGTTAAGTCGCTGGGGTATATTTGTAGCAATAGCCAACAATACATTGTATGGGTCAAAATTATTGATTTTTCTTTTATGCCAAAAATCATTAGGATATTAAGTAAAGATCATGTTCCATGAAGATATTTTGTACATTTCCTACCGTAAATATATCAAAACTTCATTTTTGATTCGTAATATGCATTGCTAAGAACTTCATTTGAACAACTTTAAAGATGATTTTCTCAATATTTAGATTTTTTTGCAAAAAAAAAAAAAAATTAAGCAGCAAACTATTTATTGTTCTGAGAACACTACAAACCATTATTATTAACTGAGCGTCAATAATACTTGAGCAGCATATCAGAATGATTTCTGAAGATCACGTGACACTGAAGACTGCAGTAATGATGCTGAAAATTCAGCTTTGATCACAGAAATAAATTACAGTTTACTATATATTCACATAGAAAACACTTATTTGGAATTATAATAATATTTAAATTTTTTTGCTGTTTTTACTGTACAAATGTCTCATTGAGAAGAAGAGATTTATTTCAAAAACATTATTTTATAAAAATGTTAAGTGGCTGTAATTGCATTTTCTGCACTAAATACTTCTATGACTATCATGTCAAAAGCAACTGACCTCTTGACTAAAGGTTCAAGTTCGGTTTTATTTCTAGAGACCAAAGTGCTGCACGCCAAACAGTAAAATACAATAAAAAGAGAAATAACTGCTGTTGATTGATCTGGTTTCAGGGATTGTGTAGACTCTACAGCTGTGTTGTGCCTCTTGGCTTGTAGGTATGATCCGGTGCTGCTGGAGAAGGTGAGCGAGATGGCAGAGGGGATCGTTGTGGAGGACGCTCCTGTTTTTAAGACCAGAGATGAACTCATCAAACAGCAGCAGCAACAGAAGAAGGTACACGGTCCTGCTATCATTCACTCTGTCCTTCACTGAAGCGTGTATTATCTATGGAAGCCGGACACTATACGGCTGTTACCAATCGGATGAAATCAGCATCAACAACATTTGGGTTTGCATTGCAGAGGTGGCACAGAATCTGCATTTGAAGAGGCATTTAGATTAATGCAGGACATGAATGCATTTAACCTGCAGTCACAAATGCATTAATAATATCTTGATGTTTAATATAGGTTTATACCTATATTCAAAGATTCTGCAGATTTTATGACGGTAAATTTAAGACTTGAAGACCAATTAAAGAAAATCTATGGAAAAATATGGTCTCTAAATATTAGCAATGCTTCAACATTTGAAAACACACAAACATAAAATCTTAGCTCTGCGTCCAGCCACCAGAATATGGAAACAACTTTTACTTAAAAGATTCTTAAACATGTTTACTACAGAAGCAAAAGTCTTGTTTTCTTTGAAACTGATCAAAATGAAGCGAGTTTATGATTGAAACGACAACAAATATCTACCGCTTGGCTCAGAAAAACCCACTTAATTCAAAGGGAAAACGACTTTTCATAGTGTGTAGTTGCGTTACGAGTCGACCCAGCTCTGCTCCACGATGGCAGACACTCTCTTCTCATATTCACGTTTGTTCTCCTGATAGAGCTGAGCTGCTTGACTGTTGGCTGGGCTGTTTGGATTGGGCTCGTCTAATAGAGACTGAAAACACAAGTCTGAATCTCACAACACTGGTCAAGAATCATACATGCAGCTCATATTTCACCCACAAAGACTCATTGTTAACTCGTGTTTGTCAGCGTAAAATTAAACCGAGGACAAAAATGGTCATACAAATATTGAACATTATTCACTGGCAGGTCTTTTTAAAAACTAAGCATCAGATATTCATGTTGCAATAATCGCTGAAGCTGAAATAAGTTGCAAAAAGTGTTGTTATACTGTAAGTATAAAATGTTTTTCTTACTTAGATTTTTTTGTCTTGTTTCCAGCCAAAATATCTAAAAATTATTAAATCAAGAAGGATTTTCTAGACAAGTAAAAATTATTGTCTTGTTTTCAGAAAAAACGTATTAAAATTAAGTGAGTTTTTGCTTGAAACAAGCAAAATAATGTTATTTCAAACAGAAAACAAGATTATAAACAAGCAAAAACTCACTTAATTTTGATGTTTTTTCTGAAAACAAGACAATACTTTTTACTTGTCTAGAAAATCCTTCTTGATTTAATAATTTTTAGATATTTTGGCTGGAAACAAGACAAAAAATCTAAGTAAGAAAAGCATTTTTTGCAGTGCAGGTATAATAACCCTGCTTTCTTATAACAAAAATAACTACTTTTTTTGTGTATCGACTAATTGCATTTAAATGTTTTTAAAGCACAAAAGAATTTTAAAGAACAATTTGTAATACTTTACAATAAAGTCTCATTAGTAAACGTCAGCTAATGCATTAACTAACATTAACAATGAGAAATAGTTACTTTAGTTACAGAAGTTAACGTTAATTCAATAAAATACAGCTAAACTTTGTTAGTTGTTAGCTCAGGTCCATTAAATAATAGTTACTAATGTGATCAGAAGTAGTTTTCATAGTTAACTTATTAATGAATTAATGTTAGCATTACAGCGGTGTTGATGGGAGAAGTATTCATAAAATACATTCTAAAAATCTGAATAATTATTCACTATATTTTGTAGTGCCTTCGATAACAACATCATGCATGTTTATTATTGTGATATACTGTATTTTTGTGTATCGCACATGTGCATTACCAACACACAAATTCATTCATTTTCAGGATTTGAAGCGATAGAAACAATGCAGATATACATACATGCACATGTATTTTAATCTAAAATATTGTTATTGAATAATAATAAAATACCCATCATGCACCTGGATGGATGTCAGAATGGAGGAGACGTCATACGTGGGACTCCAGCGATTCTGAAGAATGTCTAAACATATGCTGCCATCTGCATAGACTGACAAACACAATATCATTCATCAGAAACACTGCAGACGTTGCATTACTCCACAACACGCTGGCAGCAGCTCACCGTTTGGGTGAAACATTTTGGAGATGAAGCGAACCGTAGGAGGCTTGTTGGGATATTCTTCTGAAAACTCAATGACCAGCTTAAATGTTCCTGCGGAGAGAGATTTCAGATGAATACGAATAACATCGACATGACCTTCTGCAACCTTTGTGGCACGGTCAGTAGATAAAATCATGTACATATGTGTCCCTGCAGCACAAAAGCAGTCTTAAGTCGCTGGGGTATATTTGTAGCAATAGCCAACAATACATTGTATGGGTCAAAATTATCCATTTTTCTTTTATGCCAAAAATCATTAGGATATTAAGTAAAAATCATGTTCCATGAAGATATTTTGTAAATGTCCTACCGTAAATATATCAAAACTTAATGTTTGATTAGTAATATGCATTGCTAAGAACTTAATTTGGACAACTTTAAAGATGATTTTCTCAATATTTAGATTTTTTTGCACCCTCAAGATTCCAGATTTTCAAATAGTTGTATCTCAGCCAAATATTGTCCCATCCTAACAAACCATACATCAATGCAAAGATTATTTATTCATGGTGTATAAATCACAATTTTAAAAAAATTGACACTTAAGACTGGTTTTGTGCTCCAGGGTCACAAAAATGATTTTAGCAAATGACTGCAATATAACAAAGAGTGAAAAATTTAAGGGGGTCTGAATACTTTCCGTACCCACTGTATATATATATAAATCTCAAAATGTTTATATATAATCTCAAGATTTTTCAAGAAGTCTCTTCTTAATCTCAAAATGTTTATATATATATATATTATTCTTTTATTTTTTTTGAGATTAAGAAATCACTATTGGTACACAATGTAGAGACTACAGTTTATAAACTATGAATTAACTATAAACTAACAGTTTGCAAATTATTTAATATTGAATAATACTGAATTACTTTAATTAAAACTATTAATTTTTTAGTAATCATTAATAATTGGATCTTTCTTAACTAATCAAAGAAACAATGGTCACACTTTATTTTAAGGACCAATTCTCACTATTAAATAAGCATTAATTACAACATTTGGCCTCAATAAGATCCTAATTTGCTGCATATTAATAGTAAGGTAGTTGTTAAGTTTAGGTATGGGGTCAGATTAATGGATCTAAAATATGATCTTGCAGAATAAGGCATTAATATGTGCTTCATAAGTACTAATAAACAGCCAGTATGCTAGTAATATGCATGCTAATAAGCAACTAGTTAATAGTGAGAATTGGTGCCTAAACTAAAGTGTTACCGAAATAATCAACAGATCCACTAATCATCAACACAACTGTTAGCTGCAGCCGTAAAAATGACACATTAGAAGTAAATACATCACTGCAAAGCTTTTATAAAAGCTGCTCAAGATTCAATAACTAATGCTGAGTGCATGGTTCTTAACTAGTGTTTATTTAAAGGAGTGGCTCACCGTCTTCAAAAGGAGTTCCTACAGGCCTGCAAGGAAACACAGGAACAATGTTAAAGTTCTTCAAGCATAAACACGTCTGTAGCATCTCAGATCCACATCTCTTCATGCACAGCAATGCTCCGCTGTGGAGTATCAGCTCATTTCTACAAACATACCCAAAGATCACAGCGTTCCACAGCATGATGTTGTTTTCTGAAGGAGCACCACTCACACCAGTTGGAGGATCTTCTTGAAGTCTGCAAACAAACACGAACAAGCTAATATTAAATATATACGAGTCAAAATCTGCTAAGGGTTAATAACGGAACAACCGTTTTAATAAGTGATTTTAACAGCCCTGTTGAAAAAACCAGCATATACTGGTTAGGTATGTTTTGACGCTTGGTTCTTTGCTGGTTTAAGCTGGTCCTTTGCTGGTTTATGCTGGTCCTTTGCTGGTTTATGCTGGTCCTTTTGCTGGTTTATGCTGGTCATGTGCTGGCAAAGGACCAGCATAAACCAGCAAAAGGAGGGAGGATCTGCATTTTCATTAACATTTTTGTTATTAGAGACAATAAAAACAACTTTGTGCATCAAAACCACGTCTTTTCTTGTGAAAAACGCACTTGTTTTTCAGGTCACTGAATTTGCGACAGCTGAACATAACATTTTTGACAAGCCAAACGTGTCAGAGTAACACCTCATTTTATTTAAAACACACAATATTTACATTTAGTCATTTAGCAGACGCTTTTATCCAAAGCGACTTACAAATGAGGACAACAGAAGCAATCAAAATCAACAAAAGGGCAATGATATACAAGTGCTATAACAAGTCTCAGTCATCTTAACGCAGTACACGTAGCAAGGTTTTTTTTAATTATATAATAAATAAAAAGAAAACAGATAGAATACAAAAAGAACAGAGAAGCTAGTGTTAGTTTTTTAAAAAGAAAACAAGCAGTTAGTAAATGAATAGAGTGCAAGTCTAAAAGGGGCAAGTGTTTTTTTTTAAATAGAATTAGAATAGAGAGTGCTAGAGTTAGAGCGTCAAATAAAGACGGAGGAGATGTGTTTTTAGCCGATTCTTGAAGATGGATAAGGACTCAGCTGCTGGGATTGAGCATTCAAAAAAAGAGCATTGAAAATAAACTTAATTCCCTAAAATGAGTATTATCTGCAAAAAAATAAAAATGCTAAGTTTCGTTGGTGAGGGGTAAAGAAGTGTGGTCAACAGTGCAATTATAGATGTAACTATAGAAATTATTTACAGATTATTACATGCCGAGATATTTAATCATTCCCACATGAAAAAATACTATAGTAATTTATAGCAAATACTAGTGTTTTTGAACCATACTATAGTAAAGTACTTGAATTCATTTGTTGTGGTAATTCTATAGTTGCTGTGGTAATATAACAACTAGTAATATAAACAAATTACTGTACTAAGTTTAGTACACCTATCGGGTATATTATACTACAATACACTACAGTTTACTGTAGTACAAACTAAAGTATACTACAGTTTATCAGTTCACTAGTTAATATGCTGTAGCATTTATTAACAAAGTGTTGTAAATACTATAATATATACAGTACTATAATACAATTTACTATAGTATGGTTCAAGAACACTGTAGTATTTACTATAAATTACTATAGTATTTTTCATGTGTGATGCCATCACTGGTTGGTTAGTAAGAGCTATATCTTCAGACCTACACAACATTTGTGGCTTAAACAAGTGTGTCTATGATACCCACAAATGCTGTTGACCCTGACAAAAAAATACTGTGGTATTGTACTATGGTAACATAGAAAAAGAAAAAAAACATCGCGACTGAACTCTTGTTTAGCTCGTGCTAGCGCAGGCCTAGCGGCTAACGCTGCTAACGGCTAGCCGGAGTATAAACACAGCTCGCCTGAGGCCTCGCTTCGACACAAAACACTCGTCTGAAGACACAAACCTCTTAAAGTCTCTCATGAGCCGCCGTCTCGCCGGAGTAGACATGCTTTAATAGCGGCTTGCTGTCATAAAACGAGCAGAAGAGCGTCAGATAATACAGGAGGATAGGTGCGATGCGCCGTGACCTGGCAACAATCTTCTACAATTATTAATATACATGGGAACGTTTCATATTCATTAAATGAATGAAATTAAAATTTTCTCACTTTAAAAATGATTTCAAGCTTTATTGTAACGCTTTACCAAACTGCACAAGTAAAAAGGCGATTAGAGCGTATAACATGTAGCATAAATTTGTATTTTTCCTGTGAAGATTATTTATACATATTTTTTGTTATTGTTGTGTTATTCTCCGGCACTAATTTATTGTACTTTTGTTTTGGTTTGTCTGTTTTGCAATGGAAAATTCTCATTGTATTGTTCTTGGTTATGGCAGTAATAAACAAATAACTAAAATAAAAAACAACCGCAGAGGCACATTTTTAATTGATAAACAAAAGTTTTCGGGATCTGTCACGTGTTTTTGGTTGAGGACTCACTTCTCACTCCACTTCTTTAGTAATAAACAATTCCACAGATTTTCGAAACAATAATATGAGGATTTTTAATGATTCTGTTGGTGAGGTAATTTGCATTCCTCTTCTTATTAATGTTTCCGTTATAAAATTATATATATATATATATATATATATACATGTAATTTTTTTAGTTTATTTATCCTTTTTTAACTTATGTTTAGGTACAGTATACAGTATCAGGTACAGTATCGTTAAAAAAAACAACGCAGTGGCAATTATTTTATTCATATTCATCTTTTTGTTTAACTAGTAGGCCTAATAAAAAATGTCACCGATTCTTAAAATAATATTAGGATTTTTTTGCAGTGATTTGAATAATGTGGTTTAGTTTGCTCTCCTCTATATATTAATATATTTCCATCTTTCATTAATTTAATTATAATTCATTTAATATGACTTGTAAAAAAAAATGATGTTCAGTTTTTACAATTATTTTAAAAATATTTATTTGATTTATTTTATTTTCATTTTTATGTTTTATACACTAAAAAAAAGATACTTATTCCTCGAAGCACACTCAGTTTCAGATCTTTCTCCAGACCACGTCTGCAAAACTTTTATTTAATTTATTTTTTATTTTTTTTGGGCTGCGTTTTTCAAAACACTGAACCGTTCTCTACATTTAGACACAAAGCTAACATCTGTTGTGTGTGGTTTGGAAACACTGCCATTCAAATTCCACTCATTTACTGATTACACCAAGTGTGCATGCTGTGAGAAAACACTTATAGCTGATCTGTTTACTGAGAAATCAGAGCTAGAGCACTATAAATACACTTTTTCTTTACACTAACTGTGGGCTTGTTTACAGTATCTTCTATATCTTCTATTGTGGCTCATTAGAAAACCCCAAAAACACACAAAATGTCACACATCTCTGGCAAAAACAAATACCTCATTCATTCAAAACTATTTTAACTCTTCTCAAAATAGTGTTGTTGCAACATAACTCTTCACACAAGCATCAAATGTTTATGCATGCCAGCTTTTGCTTGTTCAGTGTGTGGCAAAGTGCACAAGTTTGTCGTACAGTATCATGTGCACAAATACTGTATATGCCGTATGTTTACATATTCCTACACATTTACACAGCCATCTGAAAGATTTAGCCCTTGGTATAATTCTAACATTACATCAGAAGAGATGTGCAGATGTCATTTCATAAAAAGAGATACACTTTGTTTCTTGTTGACTTTAAGGTTTTGTGCAAACTAAAAAGGGAAAACTGAGAAAGTGTGAAAATCCAGTTGTGTGAGCATTTGACAAATGTGCTGCAAATATACAGTGTTTTGCAGGTGGTGGAGTATAAATGATAAAAGAGTTAATGGGTTCAAGAGTTCAAATCGTTTATAATAAACACTGCAATATTCCATTAAAAATAATAATTGCGAATTTTGATTTCTTCTACAAAATGAAGTTTCCTCACTGACCAATTATGAATGTAATATGTATCAAGAATTATAAATAGAAAATGATGATGCATCATTACAAAATAATAGGCTAGTTTATCTCAATTTTTTTTTACATAAACATTAATGTAGCCGTTGACGTATTAATGAGATCCTATTGCAGTAAAGGAAAACGCCCAACGATGTATTTGTGAACCAATCGGAAAGCAAGAACAGCTCCGGGCGGCCAATCAGAGCGGAGCAGCAGCTGTGAGCGTCCAATCAGCGTCGAGCCGGCTCTCGCTGTCTGATGTGAGGAAGGCTGAAGTGAAAACAACTGTGTGGCTCAGGGTGGGACTCTGAAGGCCGTCGGCTTCTCATTTCCTCACAAGATTCCCTTATTTAATTACGTCAACATCCCTGGCCCACATGTACGTCTCAAAGTAATCTTTCGATAAAAGGTGGAAATTCGTGGAAAGCTGGGTGAAGTTAGAGCAGAAATCAGCGTGAAAACCGAGTAAAAAGCAGACATGGACGAAAAGGCGTTTTCGAAAGAGCTCGATCAATGGATTGAACAGCTCAATGAATGCAAACAGCTCTCAGAAAGCCAAGTCAAGAGCCTCTGTGAGAAGGTATGTGTGTGAAATACAGCATCAACATCGAGTTTCAGTGTTTATTTGATTTTTCCGCGTTAGCCGCTGAGTTACAAGATGGCGGACTTTTAAACGGACCCTACACTCACAACAAACTACGATTGTTCTTAATCTCGTGACAAAACACAACGCAAGTCGACTAGTCTAACGTAAATCTTTTATGAAATCACTTGTGGTGAATATTGAGTTGATTTGTGCGGTTTATGAATTACGGTAACGTTAGCCTGAAAGCTACAGTACGTTACTAATCAATCTACGGGAACCCGCAGTAAACTACGACTTGTTAGTAAGTTACTAAATCCTCTGATTAAAACATGTATGTATGTGTGTTGTCGAGAGTTTCTATACGTATAGATGTTTATTTGAAAACGCGACGCTGCTTCCTCGTCGCTCACGCGCTCTCAAAATGGCGCCCGTGTAACTGACCATCATCTGATGACAGCGGCGCACACACATCTCACTGTTATCCAGCGCTCTTTGGACTTTTATACTCCTCTAACATACTTAGTCGCTCTTCCAAAAGTGTGCATGTAGGTGTGAGCCTGGAGTGTGTGAAAGGTTTGGTTGCATTTTGGGGGCCGCTTGAAGATTTAACCATGTTGGTTTGGACTTTTATACTCCTCTAACATACTTAGTCGCTCTTCCAAAAATGTGCATGTAGGTGTGAGCCTGGAGTGTGTGAAAGGTTTGGTTGCATTTTGGGGGCCGCTTGAAGATTTAACCATGTTGGCCGCTTGCTGCTGCAGCGGATTTTGTTAGTTGTGCTCGGTTTGCTCATGAAAAAAACAATCTAGCAAAAGTAAAATAGCCATTAAGTCACTGCAACTGATTTTATATTCATATGTGCACCAATGAGGTAACATTTAATGAGGGCCAATGTGTGGCACACTAATCTTGCAATCAGTTATAATCATGTAGATTGATAGAATCAGCCATTTAATAATCAAAAATAACTAATTGAACTATATAGAATCTATACAATAATTATTTGTTAATACAGTGTTGTTATGGGATGAGTGATAAATGTATTTTTTATGTTATTGTGTTTTATTTATTTTATGTTGCCCTTCATTGATTAGTAACAGCTGTTTTACTAATGAACTTTCTGGAGCTGTGTTTTCAATGAGTGGACATCTGTTCTTTTATTTTTTTTGTCCTACACCTGAGCCCATTTCTTGGTTTTGTATGTGCACACCTATTTTATTGTCTATGTTGTAAGTATAACTCTTATTCTGAATTATTTAAAACATCTGTTGAAGCATCAGACTTCTGTTGATGTAAGCAGGACTTCTCTAATCATTTTGTGCTCTTAAAGGGATAGTTCACCCAAAAATGAAAATTCTGTCATTAATTTCTCACCATCATGTCGTTCCAAACCCCGTAATACCTTCGTTCATCTTCGGAACACAAATTAAGATATTTTTGATGGACTGGTTCGTCCGTGCAGAGTACGATCACACCCGTGTGATTTGAGCATTTAAATCTGCGTTCACGCTGACCGAAAGAGAGCAGCTGTCTGTCATGAATGAAACTGCTTCACCGTCTTTTCAACCACACAGTATCATTATTTCTGTTACAAACATTCAAATCACAGAAGTACTGGGATAAAAGTTCATAGTTCCGATATAAACTGTGTGTGCCATGTGTACGGTAGCGTTT